TAAAATTACAAAAGTCATTCTTACATAATCTTTTATCAAGTGAAAAAATCTTGATTTAATTTAATTAATCAGTTCGGATGGGAAATACATTTTGTCTGGTGGAGAAGATGTTCTACATTTCCAGTAGGTAAATCCATAGAATAATGTTTAATTAAATTACTCAGGTTTGGCTGCATCTCTATCCCTTTTGTGAGCATATTGATGACCCCAAGTGCTTGTGGGCTGTAGAACTTCCTCTTAAAGCTGTCAACATTGAACATTTCAATCTGTGTTGTGTTGACTTGAAGAGTGATCTGTTAAGAAAAAAAGCTATTTTTAGGAAGCCTTGAAATGCATTCTGGTTTTTACAAAAGTAGTTGTTGGTAAGTTTACAAAATTACACCATTTATAATATTTTTCAATTTTGGTTAAATTCTGAATGAAGACTTGACACAGGTCAACTATAGGACCTGGTGATCCTAGTTACAAACCTTCAAAAAGAAGAAAAGGATTGATGGTGTTTGCATGTGATGCTTTTGATCTTCCCATTCGGAAGGAAATTATCCACCGTGTTGTAAGATGGCAGCTTGCAAAAAGACAACAGGTATTTTTTCATGAATTTAGAAACTTACTTATTCTAGAATTTTATATCTTCCTCATTTGTCTTAACCAAAAAGGTTAGAATCTCTCGTTTGTGAAAAGACACGAATGCCCTCATCCTCACTGAATTGTTGTAGAAATACTCTTCAGTTTTATATAATATTGAGTTTCTGTTTATGGGCATTTTTGTAATTTGCTTTTTTTTATTTGATTTCAGCTCCCAAAAGTATTGGGACATAACATAGCAGAGAGGGTTTTGTTGGATGCTCCTTGTAGTGGTGTTGGGATAAGCATAAAAGCTTTATATGGTTTTTAGTTTAATAAGAAGATTTTTTATTTATTTATTTTTAATGATTTTTACAGGTTATATCTAAAGATGAATCTGTCAAAACCTCTAAAGCTGCTATTGATGTACAAAACTTCTCACGTCTACAAAAGGAACCCAAACGCTTTTTATCAATTAATTTAATTAGATCACTTATGTATGGTTTTCAGTTTTACATCACTTATGCAATTATTCTTGTAAAATTTTATTAACTATTTTAAGCAACTTATGTTAAAATTTTAAATATGTTGATTTGCAGGAATCAATACTTGCAACAATTGACATAGTGGATGCAAATTCAAAAACAGGGGGTTATTTGACGACTGAATATTTATTTTCAACATCTTTTATTTAAGTCCTTGTGATATTGCAGAATGAAGATGTTATAGACTATGCACTGAAGAAGAGGGATGTGAAACTTGTGCCATGTGGACTAGATTTTGGACGCCCAAGGTATCTATTTATTATTATTTTTTTTAAAAAAAATTGATGAATATATTTGTGTCTAAAAGAATTTGTATTATTCTTTTGAAGGTTTGTTCGATTTAGAGAACGTAGATTTCATCGATCTTTGGAAAAGACAAGACGTTTCTACCCTCATGTCCATAACATGGATGGTTTTTTTTGTTGCAAAGGTATCACATTACTTTTATTAATTTTTTTTATTATTGCATCATTGAAAGTATGATAAACCCTAATTGGATTATTTGATATTGTAGTCGAAGAAAATGAGTAATTCAAAGGGAGTTTTTGCAGCTTTTGAATACTAGGATATTTGTGTCTAGGATTGAACTGCACATGCACTCTTCTGGTAGAATTTACTAGAATTATATGTACAATATATAACAGTCTCCCATTTGGTAATGAATTGTTGCTTCCAAAACAAAAAAAAAAACTATGATAACATGTCAAAATCAATTGCTAAAGCAACCATGTGTAAGTTTTACTTGCAAACACAGTTTATTAGACCACAAGAGTAGCTTCAAATTGATCATAAAGTTGAGTAATATATAGCAGTCTCCCATTTGACTTTTTTTAGATTCTTTATGATTTGTATTTAGTTTAATCTTCTAGCCAAACCAAATTATCCTTGAAAGGAGTTAGTAATGATCATCATTTTTTGGCGCATCTTGTGAAATTGTTCATAGCTGGGCTGTTAATGTTCCTCTTTGTTTTCATTTATGCAGGTAACAATCTTGTTGAAAGGACTTCTGAATCAGATGTTAATGGTAACAAGTTTAACACTCGAGTCCATACGATTAGATGTTAATGGTAACAATTTTAACACGTGTCTTTGTTATACATACAGATTAAATGCAATTGATTGTATTTTTTTGTATATGGTATTTTATTTTATATTATGCAATGGATTGTATTTTTTGTATATGGTATTTTATTTCTATTATGAGAGATTAAATGCAAATTTAATTTATAAATTAATAAATATATAAATATATTCTTTTTTAAAAAAATTAAAATTACGTTACGCAAAAATGTGTGTCGTCTTCATTTATGACATGGCCTTTCTTGACTGGGGCTTCCTTGATACGCATTGCGTGTCATAAACACGCGCGTCGTAAGGTTACGACATGCAAATGCGTGTCGTCTTCCTTTATGACAGGGCCTTCCTTGATACGCATTGGGTGTCATAACCGCGCGTCGTAAATGCGCATCATAAATGCGCGTCGTAAATGCGCGTCGTCTATAGACGACGCACAAAAGCGCGTCGTCTCTCTTTATGACAGGGCCTTCCTTGACGCGCATTTGCGCGTCGTCTGAGCGTTTTACGACGCGCAATGAGCGTCGTAAAAGGCCTTTTTTCTAGTAGTGTGAAGAATATAAGATATTATCGTCTCATGATCACTCGTGATAAAATCCATGAAGTGATTCCAATGAGCGCGGGTTGAATCCAATACTCAGAACTTGTGAGCACTCATGAGTGTTGTAGCCCTTTGTCCAACACCTTAGACCTCTACAAGCCAACCCATGACAGTCTTAATTCATATCTACTTCCAACATATAACCGACTGTGGATGGTTTGAATAACTTTGTCATTCCGGAATAATAACCTAGTTTATTCGGGAAGTCAAAACATGCAAAATGAAACACAATAATAATTGAATCCAATATGGTATCAAAACCTATGAACATAAAAAAACACATTTTATTTATCACCATATGATTACACATTATTCATTGTATACTGTTTCAGCTATCAACTTATTCTTGAATTTAAAACAATAGTTGTCCCATGCTCCAAGCATGTACACTATGTTTTCTAAACACTAGTCATGCCATACACCAAGTATGCATACTATGTTTGTCTATGATCTTTACTTTGTGAACTAGATCAATTGAACATAACTTCAATGATTCTCTTTTCACACTCCCAAATCCTTACTGTAAATACAAGAATTCCAAATTCATGTCATTTACTGAAATCTGTTAGATTCTAAACTTATATGCATTGATCCTCTTGTAATGATTATGCACAAATTCACAAGGACTTGGCAACAATCATTTACAGAGTATTCCAAAGGAGATCAACTCCTTGCATTAAGTTTCCTAATCTTAAACAGATTGAAAAATCTAACTTTGAAACATTTCCATATTCCATTTTGACTATCACTTCTGAACAAGAGTTGCCTCCTTACAGATTATGTCAATATGGTCCTTCCAGAATTATCACTATACTTCCAACTGTCCTTGAGCAACCAATCTTTGGTAAACCTTAGATTGTCCTCGACAATTGTTTAATCCTTTTAGTCATATCCAGTTCTAAACCTTTTCCCTTCTTAATGCCCCAGCATTTGGAAACTTTTAGAAAGGATGAATATAGCACATGTAATCGATCCTATATCCGAAGCATATGGGACACGATTCATGATGTCTCACATAAAGACTAAACCAGTCTTTTGCTATAACATTTCCATTTCTATTTGCCAAGTTCTCATAATTCAGATTATGAAAAGGGATGCCGTAATCATAATCGAATTTTAGAACGCAAATAATGGACCCATATACAGAATTTCCTTATGTTGAGCCATTCCAACATGAAATTCATATATATCCTTGACTAAATGATTAAGACCTCACGATCTAAGCCTATAGATTTGAGATGAAGTATAATTTCCTCTCCCTTAATTATAGCAAAACAACTCTTTCCCAGTTGAAACTTTTGTTTTCTATAATTAACATTGCTAACTTGCAATACTTATCATAATTATCATGCTCCCACTAACATGATGATTATTAGCATAACACTTATGCTCCCACTAGCTTTGACATGTACTCAGAAAGCTCGACTTCTAGAAATCAATACTTTATTGACTTTCTTACCAAAGTTTAGATTTCTGATACTAGATTGTTTTGATAAGACTTTATCAAAAACATACACCTTCCCTTAGATAGCACACTTGTGTGTCTAAACAATTATGAAGAGGGATGTCGTAATCATAATGGTTAGACCTTTTTGCCCCTTCTCACAAGTCCAGGTTAGTGTGCCGGTAAACCACACACGCTCCACTAACGACTTTGAGAATGCAAATATCACAATTGCTATCTAACTAAAATCTACTTAGTGAAAGTGTTTCCTCACCATCATTTTCATGAATCGGAGAGAAACCTTATGACACTTAGATTTAATGGTGTATGTGTTCTTATCCATGTGAATTGTCAAAACCATAGTCACAAGACAACGATAATGACAAATCCAAACTCATATGGACTGAACTCAATCTTAACTTCTTGCCACCTGGCAGCTCAAGGGCCTGCCATTGCTTCCAAGTTGTTGTGCAACACATTGAGAACTCTAAGAACTCATATGCAAAACCAACTTTAACTGGAATGGGCACAAAATATGTCAACACGATAGGTTATAAACCTCAAGTCGTGTGCTAGTGAAGAACTTTAGGTTTTATTCTTGATTAGTTCTTAAGACTTTCAAGACCTTTAAGACTCCCACTGTCCTCTTGACATATAAGACTTCCTTGTCAAACATCCAAGAGATATTGTGGATTCTAATCAAGACAAACACTTCACACAATTGGCCTAAGTTGGTCTTTGTTTTATCCAAAACATCACAACTTACCAATTTCAAATGTACAAGAATAGAAAACTTTTACTCTTACATCTGACTTGTGTTTTTAAACCTTCTCTAAGACTTGTCACTCAAGTTACAATCTTGGGGTATAACTCTAAGACTTGTATTGGAACGAAGTATGACTCATCTTCTTGATTTAACCATTTCAACAATTCAAGATCCCTTCTTCTTAGTCATAAGAATGCACTAAGACTTCCTTAGAGAACTAATTTTGATATGGTTTCTTAATCATTAAGATGATCACAAAACTGATACTAAAGTACTCTCCCATCTTTTCAGATTTGAGAAACTTTTATCCTTCTGCCTAATTTGATTCTTCTTATTCGCTCTGCCTTACATTGGAACCTTTTCCAATGTCTCAGAGTTACACTTAAGCTTGTAAGTATAATCATATTTACTGAGCTTTAGTAAACTATGACGAATAGCCTTATATCTTTTGTGGTGTACTTAATCAGTGCACATGACTATGTACTCGATCCCTTAGTCCATTACTTGACTCACACATCCATGTGAACAAGTAATTAGTCTTAATTTTTCCAATACTTGAAAGTTCTCATTCATCATGCTATACAACTTGCATGATCCCAAGTCTCGGTCCAACTGAGACTTTGGATGATGAGAATCTTTCCTTATTTGGTAAATTTAGACATTACCACAAATGAAGGAATCAATTTCATATTTCCACTCTTGCTATTAATGGAATCATATAAGCAACACATTTTCCTCAAATGCCATTGTAAGGATATTTTAAAATAAATAAAATCAAAAAATTTTTTATTTTAAAACTATGCGGAAAAACTTATCCTTACAATCCATATGAAAACTTGTTGTTATCTATTCCAAAGCAATATCTCATAACTCCTATGAAGTAGCTCAAGAATCCGATCTTCAAACTACGCGATAGAAATCCATCTACGCGATCAGATTCAACATATTCTTTCTTTAAGTTTCTTCACTTTTCTTTGATTCTTAAAACATCACCATGTGACCCAGTCACATCATGTATCAAGAATCTCAGAATAGAAACTTAACAGAGTTAGATAGTGGACTTTACCTGAAGTAGAGTCAAACTTATTGACTTTAACATCCTTAGGTAAGTTTGGCAGCTTGCAACCAATGCCCGTTCCTTTGGAAATATAAACATATGGACCCTTTGATAATGGTACACAGGACTATTACAGACTTAGTCTTTTTCTCTTTACCATTTGGTAAACCTAGTTGACTATGGTCAATCCCTTTTCTTGGGAAGAGAATGCCTTTTCTGTATTTCCAGTGTCACCATTGTCAATGTCCATAAAGTTTCAGGAAGTTGATCTTAGCAAATATATAAGATCATTAAGGGTCTTGTCATAGTCTGTTTCATAGGTGTTCCAAAAGAACTCACTATGTGACTTAGAAAGTAGTTGAACCACCAACTTCCTCAAGACTTTGACACCCAACTCTCCCGGCTTGTCAATATGTGACTACATCTCCAAGATGTGACCACACCTAGACCTTCACTTGCCAATAGGGTTTGAGTGACCTTAAACTTTTTTTAAGAACTTGTGGGTTTGGGGGGATAATTGGAGGAGGTGAAAAGAAGTATGATTTCCAAGGGACATCATCTTCATTTAGGAAAGCTTGTTTCATGAGATTTGGGAAGATCATAAATGTCTAAACCAAAACATGTTATGGGAGATATTCAAGATAGTTGATTTATAGTCCTTAATATGACACCCAATATGAAATATTAAGGCTAGGACCCAACAAACTATTTTATAACTTAGAAGAGGTATGCCGTAATCCAAGCTATAAAATATTTGAAGGTAGGTGAATGACGATTCACCAATTTCCACCAAGATAAACGAAATGTATTATTAGGTTTTAATTGGATTTGAAACTCCTAGTTCTTTGAGATTCATTGAACTGTTCAATGGCATGTTTCAATCTCGAGTGTGCCCTTCAGGTTTTGTGACTGGGATGCCGAGGATCACAAAACAAGGTGTGAAGTAACCATGCAAATTACTTGGTACCCTTAAGTGTTTACCCCTCAATCGATGTGCCGGTTAACCACACACGCTCCATCGATACTATGATAAACATTAAGTCACCCTTTACCTACCTTGTTAAGTCCAAGTTAGTGTGCCGGTTAACCACACACACTCCACTAACGACTTAGACAAAGTGTA